TATATATATATAATTACACACACATATATAAAATATTTCTTAATATTCCGAGATATACAACTTCTTCCCTTACTTATATTTTCGCGTCAGATTGTACCTAACCTACCACATGAAACGACTGTTTTAAATCAATTAATTTATTCGTACGGCATAATTCATTATTACGATGCCATTGCACTATCACTTTTATTTGAAGAATGATGAGATAAGTAAAGAAATGAGCAACATCCATATGTATTATATATATTCGAGTTATATAATCCTTTCTAATTTCGCAAAATCACAGATTAACTCTTATATTATCCACAGAAATAAATGAACTTCCAAATAAAATTTTCGATTTATTTGTATGCTCATCAAGAAATTCAATTTAGGAATATTTACAAAGCTCGAAAAGTTAAAAAATGTTAAATTATTAACCAAACGCGACGCATTACGCTTCATAAATCGTATGTCTTTTTTGGCTTAATGGCTTTTATGGCTCACCCACGACTTTCATTTATGATTCACTTCTTAATTATATTTTCCCTGAAGTATTAATGCAAAATTTATGACATAGTACTTTTTCTTTATTTAATTGTAACTGATAACGTTTGGTTCATTTTCTCTGCATTAATCAGAATATTCATATTATATTTCTATTTAGCGGCATGGTATCTAACTCGAAAGAATATAATCAACTCTGTATAAAATAAATCTAGACTATTTATGCCCCAATCTATGCCCCAATTTGCAGTAACCAATTTTTTTCATAGATGAAATATATATTTTTAAATTCTTAAAAGACATTGGGACGACTAATATTTATTGATAGTAGTTTGAAAAAAAAAACTGAAAAACTCTCTCTAGAATCTTTTACCAAGAAAATGATTTTTTTTATGTATATCCATCGTGTAACACTTGGTTGATATCGGATATATATCGAAAATTTAAAATATGAAAATAATGTGCCACTATCAAAAGAAAAAATCCGCCAATAAAAGAAAGAAGGAAAGGTAGAGGCGATACTATGCCGCTATAGTTATCCATATCTGTCATATACACAAGATAACATGGGCACATGCACATAAAAAAAGCTTGCTACCTAAGTAATTCATCGATTTGCATAAGTGACAAATTTTAAGCAGTTTATTACATTTTCGCGTCGTGTGGATCATTAAATTAACAAATCAATTTGAATTAAAAATAGAACAAGACTTTTCGCTGCTATAGCATAACTCTCATGGTGGTATGTGTTCGTAATTAAAAATTTCGATTTTTAAAATATCGATTTTTTTTCGAAGTGATTTCGCATATTATTTGCATTTCAATATTCATATAATAAATGGCGTAAATATTTGTATATTATCCTCCGAATGAGAACTACACCACCAGTTATAGTTATGCGAGCTAAGAACAGTGATGCCAGTTTGGAGACTGCCCTCTATACGCTATAACAGCGAGCAGTATCTCCAAACTGGCATCACTAAAAATGCGGCTTTCATTTTTCTAATTTGTTTAGCTACATACCGTCGGCACAGCTTGCAAGGTATCTGCCATTGTTGGAAAAGCTCATGTCGCTGATGAAACCGGTATGCCCTCTAAGCGTAGCAGTTAACCAAGAATGAGTAGGAGTTAGCTGTTTATTGCGCCTCTTGTTTAGCGGGATGCGTCGGCCATTGCGAAATGAATGAGAATAACACGCCGGTTCTTGCGGTATGAAACTCAAAGGCGGTGCTGTGGGACTCCAAGAAGGACTGTACTCCAGACCTGAGCAAACACAAAAGTTCACCAAAAGATTAATATTCTGAACGAGAACAAGTATAATTTCAATGGACATTTAACATTTCTATGATAAAACTTTCTATGATAAAACTTTTAACACTTTTATAACAAAGGAGAAGAACACTGAGTATAACTTTCTCACGGCTATGGTTGAAAATATATGTGCTATTTTACATATACCATGTAATAAAACAAAACTCATTATTACCCAAATATCTTAATTAATCCTCCAAAAGATTTCGATCAGAACAAAATGTCCTAGAGCTGATTGAAAATTGAACGTAATCTAACCTTTCGTTGTGAAGGTTTTTTACGAACTAATCCCTCTTCTCTTACTCTATCCCATCTTTTTTATAGTTTTACGAAACTATTGTATAACGAACCAATCATAGGCATCCCCGTCCTGTCCTGCCCCTTCCATTCCTCCCTTGTAGCTCGGAAAATACGTAGCTAGATCAAAAGTATGGTGGTGGGGGTGGTGGTAAGGATATGGAAGGGAGGTACTATATGAGAATTTTCGAGAATGTTCGTTAATAGCGATTTCACTTTTATACTGGAAAACATGCGTTTTGGGAGCAAATAATTAAAAAAAATTTTTAATTGTTTTTATCATCAGAACTCTCCGGAAAGACAATGTACATGCCTAGAACTATATGAGAACTGTTTTAAAATAAGCAGAACTATATCAGAACTGCTTTAGAATAAACAGAATTCTCGAAAATCGACTGGCGTCTCGCTTCGATATCCGTAAAGACACCTCTTCGCCCTTCACCTCTTTCGAGCAAAATAAATTATTTAAAAAATATCTAATGTGAAATTAATGCTCCTAAAATATGGTATTTTTTATATTAAATGCGCAAACATACATAGGCAGTCCTATAAAATAAAGGTATAAGTGTTGATTATACGTAATCTATGCGTGCAACTTTGAAATTATAAGCATATCCGCCTTAAAGTTATAGGTATGTCCGCCGCCGCCATCTTAAATATATCTCATTTGTTCCCTCAGAGTAAAGAATAACAGGAGTGAGCATTTGGTTTTAAGCAAACGGACGGAAGTGACTATATATAAAAATGACGAAGATACTGGAAGTACCTCAAAGGCCTGGCAATGCACCATGATCTTACAATTAACACTTATTAATAATATTTTTTTAGCCTAATATTGACTCTTCCTCTCACTTATTTAGAATCGGTAATCGTGCGCAAAATAAATGCAAACTGGAACAAGTAAGACAACAAGTGGCTATACATGGCTCTGAAAAACGTTGAAAAAATTGGACGCTCAAGATGGCTGCGATAACGTACTACCGTTAGCGAAAAGTCTACCCCCACTACCGATATGCTGTCTCCTGTTATTCTTTATTCTGAGTTCCATAAATCTTTCATTCCGCTCACCCTTTATCTTTCAACCCCGCAGCGTTGCGCTCCGTCCAGATATTTCTTATATCCATATATAATATATAGAAAGATAATAAAGATACAAGTTATTTATATGTGCGTAACTTTAGTCACGCACATATGTATGTATTGTTATACATATATTATTTGGCATGAGGGTAGATATATAAGAGATTGAATTAGAGAATTAAAAATAATATATTGTTGGTAAGAAAATCGACATTATGTTGGTTTTGTGATACAAAATACGGCCGATTGTCTATAGATAGATTATTAGGAGTAAGAGGAATGTCCAGAGAAATGCCATTTAAAACTAAAAAAGAACTAAATAAAAGGAGTGCCAACCTAAGGGCCAATAAATAAAAGAAAAAAACTCAAAAGAATGACCTTTCATCTGAAAGTACGTCTTCTATAGTTGAACTCGAATGTAAATTTGTCCGTCGCATTACTTAAAATTACACGGTGTATTACATGGAATTACTTGGGTAATTCCAGGTAATTCGCAATACATGTACAAATTTTTGGCGAGTGAGACACCCCTCGGTTTTAATACTTTAAAACGAGCAACAAATTCAATCTCTCAAGGGCATTCTACAATGGCAGTAACAATTTGCTCTTAAAAGTTTTAAGAGCAAATTGGAATTGCCCATTTCGTTACTCTCGGTTTTTACATCACTAAAAACAGTATACTCTCCTACTTCTACAGCCTTGTTACTGCCATTGTAGACGGCCCTTTATATATTTCGGTAGTATATTGTCTATAGATTATTTTAATACCAAAAACATACGAGCAACAAATTCTTTTAGTTACTTTTACTTCGCGCAAATGCACGCCGCACGGCGCCGGCGCGGCAAAATTGAGTGTATAGTGGTATTAATTAAATAATATACTTTTTACGAAATGTTTTCACGTTATTTTAGAGCAACAAAATAGCAACCAATTCTGTTGTAATTGATTTTGTTATTCGAGCATTCCATATATTTTTTTCATTCCATATATTTTTTTCATGGGGATATGAACGTAAATTCCTGCTAAACGGTTTGAGCAACAAAATCCAGAGTACGGCAATAATTGAGCACATAATCAGTACTAAATTATTTGATAGACGCGACTTTGTTTGGTAATGGTGGTGGGTCAGCTTAATATCGGTGATCGTAGCGCATCGTGGTTTGCGGCATTCTTTTTCTCTATAAAAAATTTATCAAATACACCTATCAAATTGAGGGGTCCCGAAAATAAGATTCTCCTGAATAGTTATAGCGCAATTACAAAATTGTAATATCACTTTCCGTGTGTATGAAAAACAGTGGTTCCATTTTATCGCGCGATTTTATCTGGTGTCAAAATATTCATATTTTATATGGAATTTTTACTGTTTCTTTTTATGAATATAAAGTAACAAAAATTTCACAATAGCCCCGAAACGGTTTTGTTTCAAAGAACACGATTTTATTTAAAAGAACACAAATACTTTTGAAAAACAATGCTGCAGAACTATAAAAGGTGCATTGACGGGATCAGGTGGATTCCATATGTTTGAAAGTTTGTATCAATTTCATGGATTTCACATGCTCTAATACTGACAGCCGTTTTCACATAGAATAAAAGATTTTTTTTCTTAGAAACATAAGGCTCTTTTTCTCTGGAACTAACAGAAATCTGTTAATAAAATAAATTTACTGCAAAAATATTTCTCGAAATTTTTTATCGGAATTTGAAAGAACATAATATCATTTTTTATGGCTGGTAAATCAAAAGTTTTAGAAATATTATTAAGTCAAAATCTTTATTATTACGGGCAAAAATTTTAGTCACTCGATCTGGACAATTCGATGGATGACGAGAACGTACGCCAAGATGGAAAGGGGAAGGGGGAGAAGGAGTCTTCTGGTTCATGCGGTGGCATAAATATAAACTGCGTATTTATACGCTAATGTTTCATATGCGTATGTACACGTGTATTTAATGATAGTGGCAAGTGAAACGCTCAGGGCCGGTAAGTTAATGAAGAAGCCACGTAGGTGGAATACGCAAGTGCGCGTGTTTGCGTTATTAGAATTTTGAAATGCGACCTTTCTCTCTCTCTCTCTCTCTCTCTCTCTATTTTGGCGAAAATTCTCTTCGTGTAATTGACCTCGTTTATAATTATGTTTTATGATGGTGCAATTATATACCATTTACTTGGTTTTTTCCCACGGCTATGTCATACATTATTGTGCAAAATTATCAGAATCACCAAAAGTTATCTTGTATTACGATTAAATTGTTTTCGAAAGTTAGGGTGAAAAGGTAGTACCTGGAAAAATCTGCATAATCGCATAATGCTATCGAAAAATTAATCATGCTCCTAATATGGTATTCTTTATATTAAATGAGCAAACATACAGTTTAATAAAATAAAGGTACAGGCGTTGATTATACCTAATCTATGCGCGCAATCTTGAAGTTATGGGCATGTATTGTTATATGGCGAGAAAGGAGAGGAATAGTAATCGTGCAAGTGTCATTATCTTTAACTCACTGGTCGGAATTTGACAAATAAATGAAATGGCCGGTCTGATTGAAAATTATTCCAAGTTTGAGGTGCGCGCAGTTATCAGATTTTTGCAAGCAGAAAGTGAATCAGAGTGAAATTCATCGTTAGGTTAATGAATATTTCTGGCTGGAATGTTTTAAGTCGAAAAAAGTATGCATATGCAGCAAAAAATTTAAAGATTAAGTAAAGTATGCTATTCGGTCATTTAGTTCAGCTTAAGACTGGCCATAAATATTCACTAATCTGCTAATATTCACTAATATTCACTAATGTAACTTTCTCTTTGATTCATGTAAAAATCTGATGATAACTACGCGTACCTCGAATTTGGAATAATTTTCAATTTTCACTGGGCATTTCGTTCGCTTGCCAAATTCCGATATATAGAAAATAATAATGTTTGCACGGCTACTACTCCTCTCCTTCATGTACAATACATGCGAAACCGAAGGGTGTCTCACTCACCAAAAATTTGTACATGTATTGCGAATTACCGGGAATTACCCAAGTAATTCCGTGTAATACGCCGTGTAATTTTAAGTAATGCGACATACAAATTTACATTTTATTTATTGGTCCTTAGGTTGGCACTCCTTTTATTTAGTTCTTTTTTAGTTTTAAATGACATTTCTCTGGACATTCCTCTTACTCGTAATAATCTATAGACAATCGGCCATATTTTGTATTACAAAACCAACATAATGTCGATTTTCTTACCAACAATATCTTATTTTTAATTTATTCTATTAAATTTAAAAAAATTATCTTTTTTTGCGCTTGTTATCTATTTATCTGAAATATTGATTAATAATCATAAATTTAACTTTCAGAGAATTATTCACGCGTATCTAAAAGACGTTCTAAAGACGTTATAACGACATTATTTTTACTTTTTAAGACGTTTTAATCTTGTCTGGGTTATTATTGTTTTGTGCTATAGGACTTATAAATCAATGCGATGTAATGCGAATATGATGTAATGCGAAGTAATGCGTAAGTAATTCCAGAAAAAATGTACATGTATTGCGACAGTGAGACACCCCTCGATTAAAACTCAACACTTTGTCACCGCGGATCCTATATGGCGCGCATTATCATAACGTAAATTAACTAAAAAAATTTATTACTTGTATGTATTAAAATAATCTGTAGAGAATATACTATCGAAATATATAAGAGATTGAATTTGTTGCTCGTTTTAAAGTTTTAAAATCGATACTTTGTCGCCGCGGATCCTATACTGCGCGCCGTATAGGGGCAGCGGCAACAAAGTGTCGAATTTTAATACTTCAGAACGAGCAACAAATTCAATCTCTTATATATCTCGATAGTATATTGTCCACAGATTATTTTAATACAAAAAACATACAAGCAACAAATTTTTTTAATTAACTTATATGGTATAAATTCGCGTCGCAAAAAAGGTCCGCGGTGACAAAGTGTCGAATTTTAATACTTTAAAACAAGCAACAAATTCAATCTCTTATATATTTCGATAATATATTGTCTACAGATTATTTTAATACTAAAAACATGCGAGCAACAAATTCTTTTAGTTAACTTAAGTTATAATACTGCGCGCCGTATAGGGTCCGCGGCGACAAAGTGTCGAGTTTTAATATTTTAAAACGAGCAACAAATTCAATCTCATAAAAAATTTTATGAAAATGACGTATCAAATTGGGGGGTCCCAGAAATAACATTCTTGCCTAACTATTTCAATTATCAAACTCTTTATAATAAAAGATCGTTATTTCGAACACCTGTTGCGGATAGACGTGAATGGAAACTTCTGCTAAATGCATTCCATAAAAATTAAAGTTAAAATTAAATTAAAAAATAAATATGTGTACCTCACATTATATGAGATAAACATGTTCTGCGTCGTAGCTTACATGTGTGCAATTGTCGTTTATATACTATTCTTTAAAATATCGCAACGCTATATTTTTTTTTAGGTTAACTTTATGTCGTTGAAAAATTATACGGACTGATTCGTAAGATCATAGGAAAATTAACATCTTTACTTTTAAATATTTCTCCAAAAAGAAAAATCACATATAAAATTTGTAAAAAAACATATAATTAGCTAATTGCAGAAATTCTTTTTCGTGTCATAAATACCGTAAAAACCATACTTTTTAAGCGCGAACTGCATAAAAGTACATTTGTATATTCCGTCCATGGTCTACGCATAGGCGGGCAAAGTGGAATGGCGCGCAACTCATGTCAGTATCGTATCGTATACGTCATACGTACATACACGCTCGGACCCGGGTCTATTATTTCAACTTAGAAAATTAAGCGGATGAAATAATCTTGACATTTCAATGTAATATAAAATCAAAATCGTTAGCTGCACGAACAGAACGATGGTGTAGAAGACGCCTTTCTAAGGAGACCTACTCAAAACGGAGGTTTCGTCCGATCCATGGGTGTTCCCTCGCTGCTGAACGGAGTATATGTAGGTATAAGTAAAAGCAATTAAGAGGTTTTTTGTTGCAGGTAAGAAAGTTTTAACCGTAATCATAGGAAATCGACCGATCGCAGTCAAACATTATTTACAATGGGTAAATAAATTCAATACATACAATCTGAAAATGTCTAACACGAAACAGAAAAGCATTATTGACTTTTTCTATAAGTGCAAATGATTTTTATTAGTACTTGAAGTATCTAGGATTATAAAACATTTTTGTCCAAAAGTTGTCCAGTCTAGACATTACTACATCATAAAAACTCGGTTTGACAATTTGGCATATATAATTTGATATATACAAAAGAGATAAAACAAAAATTTTAAGGATACAATAATATATCATACAATATTAAATTAATCATTGTATATAAAAATATTTTTAATATTTTTAAATCATTTAACCAACAGTAATAATGCAAATATAAATATTCTGATAATTTTTAATTTTCTATCTCTAATTTTTTAACGTTTCTTTTATATATATTTTAATGAAATATTCTGACTAAACATATCTAGTAAATTTAGAACCCGAAAGTACTAAAGTATTAATAAACTCTTTTGTATATTATAGCAATTCTTTAATTTTTCCATTTAAAAAACATCTTTTACACTGTTCTGTTTCGATACCGATAGATTGTTAATACAAATGCACAAATAAATTTTTTTTAAAATCATTTGCAGACAATTTCAATTCTATGTAATTTTTTATAACACAATTCTTCGATTTTTTCATCTAAAACATCTTTTACAGTAACTATCATAAATCATCAATAAATATCACACAGCACATTTTTCTTCCCTATATTAACTTTGTTAGAATCTAACCTTTTTTTCTTTTCTTTTTTTTTTCTTTTTCGCGTATGTCGCCTGTGTGTGGAATTATCGTGGGTTCTATATAAATGTAACGCATGATATGCAAAGATGCGCGAATTTATAAATATATATACATATATATACATATACACACAAAACGAAAAAGAGGAATAAATAGAAAATACACTGAGATCTTAATAGAAAACGGGCGTTATGCGTGTGCTATTCAGCGCATCCATCTAATCATGAGAGGAGATGCTTTGTTTTGCGAGATCACCGATATATCAAAGCAAAAGCGAGTATATAATGAGATCTTTCTCTTTTTTTTTGTAAAGTAAAGATATGTTTATTGTTGATTCGATATGATCAATGCGCATTTTTTCAGTCCCGAGCTACTTAATTCTTGCATCGTATTTTATAGTAACTTAATCCAATACTTGAGTCATTCATGTTTGATCATTTTCTCTTAAAATTTTGAATAAAAAAATTAACTATAAATTATTTTAAATAAAGAGAATTTATATTTCTAAAAAATTAGCTTTTAGAAACAAAACAATTTTTTAAATATTTTACTATAACAAATGCAGCTTGAGAAATATGATAAAAAAGCCAGCATCATGTAATATATATAAATTGATTAATTTCAAATAAAAGTAATAAAAAAATAATTTTTACGCATTTTTTTGTAATTTAAATGTGAAGAAAAAAATTATTTGGGAGTGTCAATCTTTTTAAAAGAGATAGAAAGTATTACTTTAATTATTTTAATTATTTTTTATTTGAACAATATGTGTAACACGTAAATTATATATTGGGTTGAACAGAAAGTTAGTTCCGTTTTTTACTAAGAGATGAAGACCGAAAAAACGGCACAAACTTTCCGTTTAACCCAATATATATATAATTAATATTAAAAATGTTGAATATTATTAAATAATGAAATATTATTTTATTATTTGAAAATATATTTTAATAATATAATAAAAAGAAACACAATTGCGGACACACGTGCAACCGAATTATTTATCAGCTGTTTACGAAGCAGTCAGTTGTTTACGGAAAGTTTGTTCCGTTTTTTACTAAGAGATGAAGACCGAAAAAACGGCACAAACTTTCCGTTCAACCCAATATATATATAATTAATATTAAAAATGTTGAATATTATTAAATAATGAAATATTATTTTATTATTTGAAAATATATTTTAATAATATAATAAAAAGAAACACAATTGCGGACACACGTGCAACCGAATTATTTATCAGCTGTTTACGAAGCAGTCAGTTGTTTACGGAGTTTTAAAAGAATACGTACATGCAATGTAAACGAATTTCTAAGTGCAGTTCGCTAGACTGTGCGTGCATTTCATGCGTCACGTGTCGGCGAGTGACAGCTCTTGACATGTATCAAGCATACAAAAATGCACGTGTTTCTTCCAGCTGAAGAAACACTTTTATACGAATCTTCCTTCAAGCAATCGAAACTAACAAAGATATGTATTAACAAATATATACGTAGTTACTCTTGCGAGATGAATCATACAGTATTTTATTAAAAAAAGAACAATAATACAAAGATTGTATTATTTTGATTTGCCAATTAAATGATTCGAAATATTTGTGATATCACATAAAACGAATCCAGCAGTTAGAGGATAATTCCGACAAATTGAAATTTACGAATGTTTCAAAATGAGATTCCGGCATTCGTTTTCTTCGAAGGGACATTTGACGTAAAATTAAAGTTTGGCGCAAAATACGTTTTTATCGATATCGAGAATCATTTGAGAATCGAGAGAATTATTTCAGAATTTTAATGATTTTTATATCTCTTTTATAAAAAAACAAAATTATATAAGAGTATACCACTCAAAGTAGACTGCGCGCCGAGCGAGAGGGATATTCAATAATATAAGTATGCATTTTATTTTGCAGAAAGAAGTCAGCGGAGAAAAGCAGAGAGGCATGACAGAAGAAACGTTCGCATTACTTGCATTTTCTACACTCAGCTCCATCGCTTTCTCTTCTTTAAACGAATTTATATTTATCTCGTTTTAAGTGCAGAAATTTTTGCGAGTAACACGGACAAACCTACGCGTACACGTGCAGTTCGAGTGCAGCTCCTAAAGAATGATGACTGTGCTTACTTTTCGACGAGTCCTGCTCCAGGCTGGACCGCGACCGCCGGCTGACGGCATATCGTATCAGGAAAATAATTCCGCCGGCGATGAGCGTAGTCAGAAACAGCAACACGAGAACGGACGGGCTCACATTCTCCAGCATGTTTCTCGAACCCGACGTAGTCTCCATCTTCGCGTGACACCTGTCCCGAGTAGCGTGCACACGTGACACACAACACACACACGCGCGCGCACACACGAGATTTCCCGGGAAAACGAAAAAGCAGCGAAAAAGCACCGCGGAACCACGCGGTATTACGACACGTGATAACGAAAAGTCATTACATACGTCTGTATGTGTGTAAGTATGTTCGTGTTGCTTGCACTACTTGCACTCACACTTTCTCTTTCTAATGATCGAATAGGTTATAGTCTCATTCCTTCGCCGAAACGTGACGCACTCAATGCCGGAATATATATCTGTCCCGTTTTAAACGCGGAGAAATTTTTGGACGTCGTTACTTTAATCTATTTCACATCATTATGATAAAAGTTATTTATGAGTTTATCGCAAACATAAGCGAATAAATCTCCTATGTTTGTATTTACTCCGACCGCGAAAAGCACTGGGTGCAACGTGTATAGACTCTCTCGGAACTATTGCTTCGATCATGGAATACGAAACGAAGATAGACGCGACTCTCCACGTGGAGATTCGATCTGATCGATAATCAAGCTTTCGCCGATGGATCGCTAATAATTAATTCCTCTAGATCGCGATCAAACGCTACGTGTTTTTCTTTCCTTCCCTTTTTTTACGCAACGACGCAAATTTCTCAATGTGTCTAAACTACGGCTGTGCACTTTCGAACATGCGCGGGACACTTTACTCTCGGGTATTAAATTCAAAATAACTCTCGCGCGTCTCTCATCGACAAAGCTCGCGCAGGACAGTTCGATACGTATATATATTTACTCGTAAGTCGATCGAAGATTTAAGCGCGCGCGATCGCATCCTCCGCCGTCAGATCGGTCCATTCGTCCACACGACTTTCGCTCGACCGGATTATCCAACGCATGCACATCCGGAGAGAAGGAGGAATCACTGTTCCTTCGCTTCGCGTTGACATAAGAAAGCCGTCGGTCCATTCGCTCTTTGATTTTATCAAACAACAATACCTGCCGTTCGCCTTTCGATCCGAATCGGCCACCGCTGATTTAGACGTTTTACAAATTAAAATATTTTAAACGCGCGGGAACTCGATACATATGATCCGTTACGTGTGAATTTGACAGCTCGCGGAACGCAATCTGTATTTCGCGCGACTGGAGACGCAACGTGACACTTCTTCTCGACGTGACGCGTGTTTGCGGCCCGCGGGTACCCACGTACCGGTATATACCATCTCGCGCGCTTCCTCGTCGCGATCAAACCCGATGCGCTCGCGCGTCATTTCCCCCACGCGTTATCTCCTCCC